CTCATATGCTTCTTCACTCATTAATTCATCCAGTTCTGAAGGGTTACTCAGTATATCTTGATCAGCCAGCCATCTTCATAACAAGATTTGTTGACAAGTCCCAGATTTTATACAAGAGCTTCATTATTTCAGTTACTTCTCCTGATAGAGGAGAATAGAATTCACTATCAGCTTTCTCACTTTCCAAAGCATCAAACTCATCTTGTTTTCCACTTTTGTCCCAACTGCAGGCAGACTACAGTAAACAACATTTCCCAAACCTTTCTGTACAAAATTGCTGATTTCCACAGTCTCAATACCATTTTCTGTTGCTATCCATTCATGTTTGTCTGGGAGTTAATGCACAGAGAGCTGAGCAGAGGCTTCATGCAGCATCAGGCCAGTAGCACCTGCCCTCAGCCCCCTGTGTCTTATTATTATACCCCATTTTCCAGACCTACCCCGCTCACACACCTTGTCTTCCAGTGATGCCTAATGGTTTGTATTTCTCCAAGTACTCTTTGTTCTTTTATACCTTTGGTGTGTTCATTCCTCCTTTTCTCTGGAAAGCCTTTACCCTCTCCCTTTTCTCTCATAAATTCTTGTCCTCCCAGGTGAGCTCACATATTACCTCAGCCATGCAGGATGTCCTCCTAAGAGAGCCACTGGCTACAAAGGCAGACGTCTTCTTCCAGTTTTTGATGATTCTTTCATTCCACCATGAAATCCATCTATCCACCCCTTATTTCTTGATTGAAGCATATGTAACTGGTCTTGTGCCATATTCTGGGATATAAGATGACTTGACTGGAGCTCACAGCTTACTGGGGGAGACAGACAAGTAGCCAGGAAATGACAATACAGTGTTTCAGTGAACCCATAGGAGCAAAAGCAGAGAGCAGTGTGTACACAGGCAAGGGTTGCAATACATGTAGGTATATTGGAGAAGCTTTATGAAGGCAGGAAGGACATTTATCCTGAAGGAGAAGTTTTGCAGGCATCGGGAAAGTATGAAGTCTAGGTCACCTTTAGTAGAATTTAGACCCTGAAGCATTTTGTTCATTCTGCAGGTTCTACCCTCCCACACCTGTTACCACTCATTCTGGAGAAATCAAGTTAAAATGAGCTGCATGTTGGGGTACCTGGGTGACTTAATCAGTTAAGCTTCCAAAGTTTTTTAAAGATTTTATTTATTTATTTATTTGAGAGGGAGAAAGAGAGAGAGAGAGAATCTGAAGCAAATTCTGCACTGAGTGCAGAACCCCACTTGGGCTTGAGCTGACCATGGTGAGATCATGACCTGATCCAAAACCAAGAGTCAGACATTCAACCAACTGAGCCATCCAGGTACTCCTAAGCATCTAACTTTTGATGTTGGCTCAGATCATGATCTTAGGATTGTAAGATGGAGCCCCGTATCAGGCTCTGGGCTCTGAGTGTGGAGGCTGTTTAAGATTCTCTCTCTTCTTCTCCCTCAGCCCGTCCTCTTCCCACTCCTAAATAGATAGATAGATAGATAAAAAATAAACTGCATGTTAAATGCATATGTATGTATGTATTTCAATTTTTGTCTGACAGGAAACACAAATTCTCTGAATCAGAAAAAAGATAATTTATTATGCACAGACCATCTTACCAGTTCTCTGCATCCCTATCTCTATAGATAATGCGATGAAAGCCTGATGTTACTGTGAGTGTACAATGGGGTTGCACCACAGGAGATGAATGCTGAAATTATGAGACTCGGAACTTATATAGGGCAGCTGGCACATGGGTATGTTTCCTCCATCTTCCTCCTCGTGAGAGAGAAACCTTTATTCTGGAATATAAACAAATCCTCTCTGGGGAGGGATGACAGTCTTTACTTTTCCCTTCCTACCCTGGAATATAAGGAAATAGCATCAGAGGCTTCCTTTCCTTAGAGGGTGAAAGGGTTACTATTTGGGCAACTAGAGCTCAGTCCTCTGGGAGTCTTCTGCTAGGGTAGAACACACTTCAGCACTCCCACCGAGAGAAGGAAGCTAGCATTTTTGTGTACCAACTCCTGGCTCTCAGCTGCAGGTCACTCTTGGGCACTTCTGATGAGACCACCTGCCCTTATAGCTGAAGAATGCTCTCAGGCAGAGTGATGCTTTTGGTGTGCTTATACGAACTGTCTGTGGGTGACCTCCAGGATAGACTGAGGGGATATGGACATGATACCAATTATGTGATCTTACCTGTCTTCATGTTTCTGAAATGGAGATCATAATATGTAACTGCACTGGATTGGTGGGAAGATTAAGTGCATCAGAATTCATAAAGTGATTCTCACATTTCTTGAAAAATAGTCGATACTCAATAAATGATTGCTTTAATAGTAATAAGTTAACATGAGGGACCAGTGGTTCTTCTTTTGTAGTTGACTTAAGACTTGTTTCTATCGCTGTAGGTTGTGTTAGAGTAAACAGTTGACTGGGGTCAGAAGGGGCAAACTGTGGTTTTAGGAATAGAGATTTCCCTTAAGTAAAGCTACCCATTTGCACGGGGGCAGAATCTATTCCTTTCAAGCGTTATAAAGCCAACTGTCTAGTAAGATATAATTAGATTGTTTTCTCAGTATTAAAGCTTTTGCCAGTGGCTTGTACATTTTGTTGCTTGGTAGGGAAAATAAAACTTCCACAGAACGGAGTTATTTTGCTTATAGCTATAAAGAATATTTATCAATTCATGCTAAATCTCAGAGCATATCCAAGTTGACATGGTTGCCAAACTGGTTGTGTTTTTTTCCTTTGTACTAAATCTAATTGTAGGCATTATCACACCTACAGTACATGTCTGTGCATGCATCTCTACTAGGAAGATGTAGGGGTGGGGGGAAGGTAATAGCTATCTGCTTATGTCAAGAGAATGGGGTAGGTGGGCTTGGAAGTATATGAAAAATAATAAGGGAACTTGGTGACCAGGATCTATTGTGAATGGAGAATTGAGTTTTATTCTCTTTTTGTTTTAATAGGAGGGTGGAGTGGAGCTGAATATGGTCAGTGTTGTTTATACTTTGAGAGGTTCTGGGTGACAAGATGCCAAGAGAGGGATTGTGTCATGTGTTATCCTCAGTTCTACCAGAGGTGGTGATTAGAGCCATGGAGGTGGAAGTGCTGAGCTCCTCCCAGTTGAGGTGTGTGCGAAGTGTCAGTGTTGTGCATGTTCTGTGTGGTGGGCTCAGGAGGCTAGCTGCACACCAGCCCTTGCCCCTTCTCTGTGTTAGCATTTGGCTATCAGATCCTTCTTTTGGGGGAAAGTGGACTCAAGCCCGTAGATGAATCATGTTTTGTGCAAAGCAGTCATGTTATTCCATTTGTATTTCCTGGAGTTTGGTCTGAGGTGGTCAAGTGACTTAGGAGAAGTCTGATGGGGATTTTAAGAAATATCTTCTTCCTGGTAAAAAGACATGAAGGAGAAAAGACCTGCCCTTCTTCCTGCTTTTGGACTTGTTGGTACTGTGGCAGCTATTATGTGATCATGAGGGGCATCTCCATCACACGGAGAGTATGACAGAATGGGAAAATGGAAAATTTACGTGTTCTTGATAACACAGAAGGATCAGCGTCTAGATTAGTCTGGGACTCCATTCTGCTGGCTTCTTATAATGTGAGACTTCTATTGTTTAAATGACTTCAATGGGCTATTCTGTTCTTGAGGCCAACATGTCTTGATTGACAGAGCTCTGGTTACAGCACAAGTCTGGTGGTGGGGAGATAACAAAGACGCTGACATTAGGAGTAAGCATCCATGGAAGAGAAGAAGAACTGAGGCACAACTGGGACCCTGGAGAGTGCTCAGTCACCACTGACCAGGACAGAGAAAGGATGGGGACTCCTTGCTGATCAGGAGGACAGCTGGTGCTCCCCACTGCTTGACAGTGCATGAAAGCAGGAGTGAGACCTCAGAGGCCACTTTGGTGAGGTGCAGAGGACTGGAGCAGCAGTGGCAGGCAAACCCTGCGGTTCTCTCTGTGGGAGATGCAGGAGTCAGGACCAACATGATATTATAGCTCTTGTAACCTGTTGGTGGTGGAGGAAACGAGCTTTGGAGCCAAACAGATGTGGGTCCCGTTACTTGCTTGAGCAGAGCTTCAGTTTCCTTCTCTGTAAAATGAAGAAAGTCATCTGCCCCATTGGATTCTTATAAGGATTAAAATACATTAAAATAAGTTAACTTCTCTAATCTGTAATATACTAGAAGTTTATGAAAAGGTAGTTATTATTATTTAATAGACACCTGCAAAGGTAATGAAGATTTCTTCATGGTGGAGATACTTCAGTAGAAACCTGACCACTAGATGCTGAGTGAGATCAGGCCAATTTGAGTTGAGACTTGCAAGAGTAAACTGGTGTTGACCTGCCCTGATTAGTCTGCTAAGAGAGAAGCCCCTGGGGATGGAGTTTCTGGAGACCATTTCTCCTCTGTCCCCAGAGACTTTTCTGAAACAATAGACTTTCTTGTGTGGGGGAAGAACATTAATATTTGCTACGACATTGTTTTCCCCTGAGCAGTGGAGGAAGACAAAGGCAGAAGATGTGCAGTGCTGATATAAGTGGGAATGCCACAAAGTTTTACAAAGTTCCCAAGGGACTGGGTGGGGGCTTATCATGGGGTGTCAGACTCCTGAGAAGAGGGAGGGGGAAGATCATAGAATGTTCCCTGCCCATCCTATCATTGACAACCTTGGTTATAAAACACCAGAGGTACAAATGTAATAGCCAGAATCAGAGGCTTCCTGCTCACGGATATGAGGGGGAGATGGACCAAAATAACCTTACAGCACTAATAGCAGACTCTGAGAAGCCACCCCTTCTCTCCTGGAGCCTCTATCCACACACCCCTTCTAAGTAATTTCTAACCTTTTGGTGACTCACAGAAAGAAGAGGAATAGAAGTTACTGGCGTTTGTAGTAACAGGATGAGAAAGTACGAGACTTCCTGTTGTGTGTGTGTGACAGCTGGTGATAAGTGGAGGGCTCTACACAGGAAATCCGCTCAGCTTCTGCAATGTGACCTGCCTGAAGCTTGGGTGCTCCTTCAGTCTGGATGTTGATGGCAGGACAAAGGGACGCCTGGACCATGGGCGATGTGGTAGAGAAGAGTTTGGAAGGGCCTCTGGCACCTTCTACAGATGAGCCCTCCCAGAAAAGGGGAGACCTGGTAGAAATCTTAAATGGGGATAAGGTAAAATTCGATGACACGGGACTCTCTTTAATTCTGCAGAATGGCCTGGACACCCTCCGTGTGGAAAATGCTCTGACCGATGTCATCTTGTGTGTGGACATTCAGGAATTCTCCTGCCACCGCGTGGTGCTCGCTGCGGCCAGCAACTATTTCAGGTCAGCACGCCTAGGATTACAGTCAAACTGGGTGCAGGTTGTAAGGAAAATCAGTAACGATGTGAGAGCCCAATCTAACTAGGTGGCCATTGTTGCATGTACAGTTTGTATAACTATTTAGATTTGTGTATCTATTCAAGATACAAGAAAGGAAGTTATTAAACCCTAGATTTTAGGTTTGGAGGCATATTAAAGGAGAGATTGGTATCATTTAAAAGCAATGTTTATATATTACAGTGAATCTTCTCTGTATGTGTCTTTGTTCCAGAAGATGGAAAATTACTGAAGTCATGGGGATTTTTTTCCCCCTTGGTTTGACTAGTGTGTTGGAAACATGATGTTGTCTTTGTTCACCAATAGAGGTAGAGAAAAGTTTGTGGCCCCTCGTTTGGAGTTATCAAATGACTTGCTGAAAATTAAGGGCTTCTATTGTGCACAGGGGTTGGATTAGAAAAGAAAGCATAACAAAGGTGCTTTTGCAGTGAGGGGCTCCCAGTTATAACACATTCATACCTGGGCTCCATCCTGTCCTGCCCTTCTTGACACTGGGACTCAAGGAAAGTCACTGCATGCTCTTGAGTTTCTGTTTTGTCATCTGTTAGCTGGGGACAATGATTACCTTTCTGGTTTGTTGTGATAACTAAATGGGAGAGGGAAAATGCTCTTACACAGTGCCTAGGGTATAGTAGATGCTCAATATGTCTTTGTGAAATTCTTAACCTCATTCTGTTTGGTTCAGCTTAGAACCGTTTAATGAGTATTTACCATGAGCAAATGCCTGGGACAGGAATGTGGGAGAATCAGGAATGCAGTGAATAGGGCTGGATCCAGAGTTCTCCAGATTACTGCAGACGTGGTGAGAACCAGTCCCTAAGGGAAATGAGGATGAAGAAGGTATTTGCAGAACTTGAAAAAGAAATGCCTTTATAATTCTTTTAAATGATATTCTTCTTAACTCTTGGTTCTGGCTGAGGAAATTAAAAAGTATTTACCTATGAAATATCTTCAAAAGTATTGTTTTTTCATTTTTCTGAGATGTTTAGAGGGAAATTTTTCCTTGGACTTCGAAGAGCAGGGTCAATGGGCTGTTGTGGAATTGATTAGGTCCCATATGTAGACAAGGCAAGGGGACACCTGGGTCGGCGGGAAGTAGCGCCTGCTATGTGCCAGACAGACACAGTTATCTAATTTTATTTTTGCAGTAGTGTGGTGAAGGTGGCTGATGTTCCCTTTTACAGATGAGGAAATGGAAACCCAGCTTTACATATGTAATCATTGCTAGAGCAGGGATTGGACACATTGTAGAAATCCTTGTTTTTTACTGTAATACAAATTGCCCCTAAATTTAGGGCTTTGTTCCACAGGAAATATATAAAAGGTAATGGGTAGGCACAACATAAAGATGGGTTGAGAAAGATAGACACATTTCTTACTCACCAGTTTCCAGCATGGCTTTTGCATTGATCACAACCACTTTCAGAAGTAAAGGAAAGTCAACTTGGCTCAATCAATATCCTGAGTACCTGTTTTTAGGTGTATTCATTCTGTTTTGAATCACTGGAAAATGGTTGTCATACAAAAGTATATCCGATTAGCAGTTTTGTTAGTGGCTTGGCATAGGACTGCTGGCTGTATGCTCTCCAGTGCGTCGCTGGTTACTCTGGTCCTTTTGAAGGTGTTTGGGCCCAGGTCCTTCGCTCCTTGATGATGTGGGATCCTTAGGGTAAGTGTCTACCAGCCCTCAGAGGAGGTGGTACAATGAGTTGCTGGAGACTCCCACATGGTGTGCATGTCAGCCTGGGGATGAAGAGTCGCTTCCAAAACTGCCTGGTCATGGAGGGAAATTCCTTCTATTCTTTTCTTCAGAGCAGTGACTTTTGATTCTTATCTTGGTATTTCCAAGATGACTTTTTTGCTATAACGAACACAGGCCTGGAGACAGGATTCTTTCTTCTAGTACTGTGAGCAGAGCTCTGGGCCACCAGTGTCACACATGCTCTCCCACAGCAACCCTGGGAGGAAGGACATTTTATCCCAGCTTATAGATAAGGAACTAAAGCCCGGAGGGTCTCTGCTAATAAAGTGACCAAGTGGGATTTGGCCCTAGGACTGATATTAAGTCAGACATTGCCTCACTGCCTGTCTTGCTTTGCTTCTAAGGTTTTGAAAGGGGTTGGGAGCCAAGTTCCTTTTATGCTCACACTTCAGAAGGGCAGAGAGTCTGCTCTGTCTGAGAGTCTTCCGACACAGTCCTCTGTGCTTGGGAGGGCCTGGAAGCTGGCTGTTAAATTATGTAATTTTCCCTCCTTTTTTTTTGAAAACATAAATATTTTCCATGGAGTGATGGAACCATAGTGTATTTAACTAGTCCCCTGTTGACAGACATTTGGATTGTTTCTTATCTTTTCCTGTATAACAATGCTGTAATGAATGACCTTATACATGTCATTTTATATGCATGCAGGACTATCTGGGGCTGTATTTCTAGAAGAGGGTTTGCTGAGTCAGGGAGAAATGCATCTGCAGTTGAAGGGGATATGGCAGATTCTCCCGGATAGAGGTTCAGTTGTTGCGCACTCCCCACAGGCTTGCCAAAAGAGGATGGCTTCCAACTTTTGGATTTTTCCCAATCTAACAGATGAGAGAAACAGTATCTGTTTTGTTTTAATTTGCATTTCTCTTAATTTTTTAAAAAAGATATATTTATTTATTTGGGGGGAGGGGCAGAAGGAGAGGGACAGATAGAATCTTAAGCAGACTCCCTTCTGAACACGGAGCACATGGGGCTTAATCACACAACCCTGAAATCATGACTCTGGGATCACGACCTGAGCTGAAACCAAGAGTCAGACACTTAACCAACTGAGCCACCCAGGTGCCCTGTATTTCTCTTATTCTTAATAAGCTCAAACATCTTCCCATATGCTTAAGGATTGGCTGTAGTTCTTTTTCTGTGAGGTCTCTCATACATTTCCAATTTTCGTGTATATTTTTTAAAATTAAGATTTATTTTTATCAAAGTACTACACACAGATAGTTAACAAAGAGTCAATTTTTTTTTAAGATTTTTATTTATTTGAGAGACAGTGAGAGAGAGCATGAGAGGGGAGAAGGTCAGAGGGAGAAGCAGACTCCCCATGGAGCTGGGAGCCTGATGCGGGACTCCATCCAGGGACTCTCAGATCATGACCTGAACCGAAGGCAACCGTTCAACCAACTGAGCCCCCCAGGTGCCCAGAGTCAAATATTATTTAAAGGCTTATAATGACAAAAGTTTCTCTTTACCTCCTCTACCCTTCCGTTTTTCTCATCAGAAGCCACCATTTTTGACATTTAGCTGTTCTGGTATTATATTTATATTTCTTCAAAATATGCTTACTCCTATTCTTTTCTGATTTCTCAATGTTAGACATTATTTATTGATTTCCTAGCATGTCTAATAAAGACTTAGCACTTATACCTAAATCCCTTACCATACACTTCCTTTCCCTATAATCTCTCAGTATAATGTTATCACTTTTTTTGGTTAAGTTTGTATTAAGAATTTACATTGTGTCCATGAAAACATTGTTTCCTGTTGAGCCAAGTTGTGTGATAATGTTTTACTTTGTTTCTTGTAAAGCCTTTTATCTGAAGTTAATAATTCATTCTTTTTTCCATTTGCTTAATTTTGGGGCTATCTTTCACTCACAGCCTCTCACCATGATCTTTTATGTGGTTCAGTGCATCAGAGAATCTACCGATTCCACTCCCCCTGCCCCGAGAATCTTCCTCACTGACAGCATTTTATACATGTTCTTTGGACCTGCTGCCCAGCTATTATTGAGCTGCATATATAGCCCTGGTGGCTGTAAACAGGGACATTACTAGTAACTCAGACAATGTAGTTCCCTTTGGGGGCCTATTTTAAAGTCTTGAGTGGAATGAGGAAGTTGGGAAGATATATAGAGTTGAGGCTGAGAAAAGAGCAAAGGAGAATAAAGCTTTAAAAGTAGCTCATGACATACATTAAATATCAGATGTCCAATTAGTCTCATGGCAGGAATATCAAGGGAAGCATGATTTAACATTCATAATAATGTTTTTCTTTTTTAATGTCGTAAGATTATTAGTGTCTTTTATAAGACGACTAAGAGAGCCGCCATTTGTCTTATGCCTTTGGGCATGTCCCTAAATCTAAGTCTTTGCAACTGGTTGTGCATCCTGTGTACTGAACCGCAGCTCCCAAAGGATCTCCATCTAAGGAAGTGGTTCTTGCCATTTTGGGGGGCATGGAGCAACTCACTGCCACTTTGGTTCATCCCATAAGTGATGTTGACCCCTGAGGGCAATCATGCTGTGTGTCCCAGGGATGGCTGAGGGAAGGAGTGGTGAGGAAGAGAGGGATCATCAGGTTTCTCACAGCCCTACCTCATAACTGGCCTTTCTACATGAACAAAAAACCTTTCTTCATGAACAAAAAAGCTTGCAGACTGAGGCTGAGTCAACAGCAAGCTCCTTTGTTGCTGCTGATGCCCCAGATCTGCCTGGATCTTGGCTCCTGCCTTGTACTTCTGTACTTCAGTCTCTGGATCTGTTTCCCTGAGGCCATGATGAGGGGCCTTTGACCACTGGCTACAAAAATCAAGCACAGGTCAGGAATGGGAATGGCATTGTGGGATGATCTGTTAATAATATTATTATATAGTAACCAGTTACTGTATGACATAAAGTGGGGTGAGAAGCTACTCTCAAACCACGTGTAGAAGTTATAAGTCTTTGCTTTTGCTGCATAGTAGTGTAAGGTGTCTACAAAGAAGCCAGCAAGCGTGGATGATAGTGTAAGTGCAAAAGAAAACAAGAATGAGTTAAGGCCCTCTAGGTCTGGATTAGAAATCTGGCTAATGGTGAGAACATTGAAGATTGCTGTTGCTACAGTGGTGAACTCAAGCAAATTGGAAGAAGTACTGATTGTACTTCTAGCATGAGTTCCTGCATTTTATGCTTTTAATATTGTTCAT